TGGCACAGAAGCCTGTAATTGAGAGAAAAACCAACTTTCTGCTCCATAGAGACCAATGTTAAATGTTGCTTCAAAAACATCTTCCACAGAACACGGTACCCCATTTCTAGATCGCCAGTTCAGCCACATTTTTTACACTACAGACACAATTTTTACAGGATCTGTTCTTCAACTCATCCTTCCTCTCATTTATTAATATCGGAGCAATAGGAGCTACGGTTATGGGAGTTTTGAGGATTTGTTTGAGGTGTTTTCCTGTTTAATCTCCATGAAAAGGCTGCAAGGACACAGGTGTTTCTGATTAAGCTAATTAGTGATGTTGATAAACACACAGACTCACACACACATGCACTCCTCTATCTCTGTATGCCTCTCTCTCTGTCTCTCATACAGTCATTCAGGTCTTAGAGCTTTTTACTACTACTGCTACCATCAATATTATTACTGTTACTTATACTACAACTGCTACTACTACTGCTATTCATGCTACTACCAGTACTAATACTACTACAGCTATTAGTACGACTGCTACTAGTACTACTACTACTGCTATTACTGCTACTTCAAATACTGCCATTACTGCTACTACTACTACTATATTAAATACTGCGACCACTACTACAGCTATTACTACGACTACTGATACTACTACTTCTTCCAATTACTAATACTTCTTCTACTAATGATACTTCTACTACAACTACTACTACTACTACAAATATCACTACTGCTACTACTAGTACTTATTCTAATGCTACTAATACTTCTACTACGAATAATACTTCTACTACAGCTTCTAGTACTACTACAAATATCACTACTGCTGACATTTTTTAAGCCACAGAAACCATTCGAATATTAAAATGTTCAGCTCTTTCAGGAGAGGGGTGAAATTACTTTTCATATTTGTAATCTTTAAATTCTTTGAAATATTAAGCTATTTGCAATTTTCTTTTGAATGGGATCTCTATGGAGAAAATCTTCAAATCCTGTTAAACTTCTTCAACTTTCAAAGCCTTCTTCTTCCTCATACTTTCAGCTACAGACACCATAGTTAGACATTTCAACTAGAAGGATTTTAAGCAGTGCAGTTTAAATGCTTTCGGAAGACACAATGCTCCCAAACTTGCGGCTTAAATGACGCCGGGAGCTTCTGACGCTCCTCCGCTCGCCATGACTTTCACCGTTAAATGCTTCTAACACGCTCCGTTCACGTGAACACACTACTGCTTTATATCTGTTCACTGACACTCTGCATTGATATTCAGGGACTTGTTACTTGAAAAGGAACAGCAGCAGTACAACTTAATTACACACTATGATGATTACACTGTTAAAAGAGAAATACTCAATTGATCCGCGGTTCTTCTGAACCGGGAGGGGTGATCCGAACCCACCTCTAGTGCTGGATAAGGGCAAGAGGAGAAGACACAGCCGCTACATCATCGGATCAAACAGAACGTCTGTCCAATCAGAACTACTTTAAGTCAGAACATCTGTTCACCGATCCAACACAGAATCCAGCATAATATTAGAAAAGCTAAAATATGGAAAATAACAAGCACGAATGGAAGATGTTACCAGATCGTACTTATTTGTCTTAAACATAGAAAACCACTGGAATGGTTCTTTAACGCTGTCATGAAGACAAATTGTGCAACTCTTAAATGGGGAACAAACTATAGCATAAGTATTCCCAGTCATGTTAACCTGAGCTAGATGTACTCTCCTGGACAAATAGTTACATCTGCTATAGAGTCAAGCTCGTTTTTTCTTATGTACGCCTAGTTATCTGAATTTATCTATCCATAGTATTTCTTCTTCTGACACTGAAGCAGTACTATAGTTTTCCGTTTTATGGAGCATGAAAAATGTGTTCTGGTAGCAGCAGCAGCAGAATCAGAACCGTTGATTGCCATGGTATGTTGAGCATACGAGGAATTTGACATGACAGGAGGTGCATAACATTTAACAACAATCAACAGTGCAAAGTAGAGACATTAAATTTGCAGAAAATATAAAATAAAGTGCACAAACGAACAGATAACAGGACTATAAACAAGTGAGATGTAAGTGTAGTGTAAAAGTGTCGAGTGTAATAGAAGGGATGTGCAGGGGAGTGACCGGTAGGAATTTGTTCTGGGGAAGACAGTCAGTGGGGGTCCCGGGCTTTGTTAATGAGCCTGACTGCTGACGGGAAGAAACTGTTCATGTGTCGTGAGGTCTTGGTCCTGATGGACCTCAGCCTCCTACCAGATGGAAGGGGCACAAACAGTTTTTGTCCAGGGTGAGAGGGGTCGGCTACAATCCTTCTTGCTCGCTTCAGGGTTCTTAAAGTGAACAAGTCATGGAGGGACGACATATTGCAGCCAATCACCCTCTCGGCAGAGCGGATGATGCGCTGCAGTCTGCCCTTGTCCTTGGCAGTGGCTGCAGCGTACCAGACTGTGATGGAGGAGCAGAGGATGGACTCAATGATGGCTGTGTAGAAGAGCACCATCATTGTCTTTGGGAGGTTGAATTTCTTCAGCTGCCTCAGGAAGTACATCCTCTGCTGAGCCTTCTTGGTGATGGAGCTGATGTTCAGCTCCCACTTGAGGTCCTGGGAAATGATGGAGCCCAGTAAGCGGAAGGACTTCACCGCATCGACGGGGGAGTCACACAGAGTGATAGGGGCTGGTGGAGCTGCATTCTTCCGGAAATCCACAACCATCTCCACTGTCTTTAGGGCGTTTAGCTCTAAGTTGTTCAGACCGCACCAGGTCACCAGGTGGTCAGTCTCCCACCTGTAAGCGGACTCATCCCCACCAGAGATGAGTCCAATGAGGGTGGTGTCATCCGCGAACTTCAGGAGCTTGACGGACTGGTGACTGGAGGTTCAGCTGTTGGTGTACAGGGAGAAGAGCAGAGGGGAAAGAACGCAGCCTTTGGGGGAATCGGTGCTGATGGTCCGAGAGGCTGAGACGTGTTTTCCCAGCTTGACGTGCTGCTTCCTGTCAGACAGGAAGTCTGTGATCCACTTGCAGGTGGAGTCGGGCACGTGCAGCTGAGAGAGGTTGTCGTGCAGCAGAGATGGGATGATGGTATTTAAAGCAGAGCTGAAGTCCACAAACAGGATCCTGGCGTAGGTTCCTGGGGAGTCCAGATGCTGGAGGATGAAATGAAGGGCCAAGTTGACTGCGTCGTCTACAGACCTGTTGGCTCTGTAAGCGAACTGCAGGGGGTCCAGGAGTGGGTCAGTGAGGGTTTTTAGGTGGGACAGGACTAGGCGTTCAAAAGACTTCATGACCACAGAGGTCAGGGCGACGGGCCTGTAGTCGTTAAGTCCTGTGATCCTAGGTTTTTTGGGGACGGGGATGATGGTGGAGACCTTGAAGCAGGCTGGTACGTGGCATGTCTCCAGGGAGGTGTTGAAGATGTCTGTGAACACCGGAGACAGCTGATCAGCACAATGCTTCAGGGTGGAGGGGGACACAGAGTCAGGGCTGGCTGCTTTGCGGGGGTTCTGTTTTTTAAAGAGCCTGTTGAAGTCACTCTCCCGAATAGAGAGGGTCGTTACTGGGGAGGGGGGTGGGGGGGGGACACTGTGATGGGTGGTACAGAGGCATGGACCCCTGCTGGGCTGGGGGAGGGGGACCTGGTGGTCTGGGGCTGGTAGATGGAGCTGTGGGGGATGGAGTCAGGACTGTCCTATTGTCTGTCAAAGCGACAGTAGAACTCGTTTAAGGAATACAGGTGATAATTCACTTTTAGATTCAGTTGTCTACCGCTGTTGTGTGAAAGACATCACCTCTTTGCTTCTTATTTCTTTTTGGCTGTCTATTTCTAATGTCTTTATCATCGTGTCTCTCTAACATAAAGTTCAGGATAGACACACGGGCTCAAAACATGGTTCTCTATTTTCTGCAGTGACATCACCAGCACTTTTTGAAAAGTTAACAGATTTTCAACTTGAAGCACTCTCACAAAAAAGGTGGAGCATACTGGAAAAAGACACGATGTGGACACAGTCCACTAACAACCTAAACTCTTTTGCCGACAGACTGTTTTATGTAGTTACTTTTTCAGATTTAGATTAACAAGACATCGATAGATCAATTAACATTATTGATAAAGCTTTGTTGGTCTTCAGAGGGAAATTCACAAGCTATCCAGCAGTATGTAAATTAATATATAAAATATATGTAAAACTCGATTAAAGCGATCAGCAAATTGATGCATTAATAATTATTGATGCATTATTCTGAAATGGGCAGTTCTGCATGAGTACTTTTACCATGGTACTTTTGGTATATTTTGATGCTAATACTTTTGCACTTTTACTTAAGTGCAATCTTGTCTGTTGTGAGATATTTTGATTATGATCAAATGCAATAAAACTTTTTAAAATTATCTTGTTGTATTCTAATCTTACTCCAAAAGACCTATTTTGCGTATTAAAATCACAAATGGAATGTTACTGATGTAGATGTGCTGATTCAGGTTTTTACAGACATAAGTGCATTTGTTGATGGACCGCACGCTGCTACAAACTGGACCGTTCCTAAATTCAGAGCGCTGATGGAATGTACCGTTGGGTTATTGGGAGCACCACACTCAGTGAACGTGGAAAAGCTACTTGTTTAGCTAAGCTACCATGGTTACATTGTCACTAACTCCTAACGTTAGCTACAGCCTACATTTCCCAACTCATTTTCATTGGCATAACGTTCGGTCTCATCATTATCATTGTCATCCTCACTGGCTCTTGCACAAGAGGTGCTATTTTGCATTTTACGTATCTATTGGAAAGTTTTTCTTCCATTTCTTTGCATTGACATGTTCCTCAATTCATATAGCAATAGAACGCTCTGTTTCTTCAAACAGGGCTCTTATCTTACTGTAGATTGTCAGATTGGATTTACGAAGACACTTGACACCTGATCAAGATTATGATTTGGGTCATATTTCCTGATATTTTCTAGAATTGCCAGTTGTGTAATGACATCTCTAATGTCTAATCCCAGTTGATAGATGAGCAGGTCCTGTGTGTCCATGGTGGTCTTTCACCTGACATCAAGACGTTGGACCAGATCCGCACCATCGAACGCAACCAGGAGATTCCCCACAAGGGAGCGTTCTGTGATCTTGTGTGGTCCGATCCAGAGGATGTGGACACCTGGGCGATCAGTCCGCGAGGTGCCGGCTGGCTGTTTGGCTCCAAGGTTACCAATGAGGTATGTTGTGTCAACATTTAAAAGCAATCAATGGAAAATTGAAACCTCCGTATCACCAGTTGATTGAAAATATACTCATATTTTGTCATAGTTTGTGCACATCAACAATCTGAAGCTCATCTGCCGCGCACATCAGCTGGTTCACGAAGGCTACAAGTTCATGTTTGATGAGAAGCTTGTGACCGTGTGGTCAGCTCCCAACTACTGCTACCGCTGTGGAAACATTGCGTCCATCATGGTTTTCAAGGACGTCAACAGACGAGAGCCCAAGCTGTTCCGCGCCGTCCCCGACTCGGAGCGTGTCATACCTCCCCGAACTACTACCCCCTACTTCCTCTAATGACAAGAGCTGGTCCTCTCTCCTCTCCACCCTCTGGAGATCTCAACTCTACAACCTAATAACATATTTTAAGATATGAATGGAAGTAACGTCTCTTTCAGGTCTAGAGCATCTTGAGCCGCAAAGGGTTTCTTCTAAGGCTACAGTCAGTTTGCACCACACGCACTTGTTCTGTCGTTAAGAAAAACTAGCCCCAATGAGAAAATGATACCTTTTAAATTTCTTCATATTTTAATGATAAGAAAACGTTGAATGGTTTGAGTTTATGTACCCCACTGAAGCAAATAAAACATTTAAACTGGTGGTAATTGCTAACAATACATGTTCAAATAAAGTGATATATATATTTTATTTATCATTGTAGCAGTTTGGTGTCACGGTTGCCTTTTGAAAGATTGGACTAGTTTTCTCCTTTTAGGACAATCCTGTGTAACACCCCCCCCCCCCATTTGGTCAACTTTTCTTTTCAATGTTTTTAAAAACTGTTCTGTTGCTGCAGACAATTTGTTTAATGATAGTTACAGAAAAAATGTTTTACGTGAGAACATTCTTTTGCAGTTATCAGAATTAACGAGATAATCTTCAGTGTGAATGCCGATTCAGCATTCACACTATTGTGATCCAAATCTTTATTCTTTAAATTCTTCCGTACATTTTTTGGACTCAGTACGTCTGCGTACATGCAGCTACAGAAACCATAATATCAAATATAGTTTTCATATCAATATCAAGTCATTTCTTTGATGGCATTTCTATTACTAATGCTTATTTCTATCATGTACATTTAAAGTTGAATTGGGTTAGAAGACTTTGAGCTATTAATCTTGTGTTCAACTTTTCAGTATCTCTTACAGTTTCTGAAATATCAGTTTACAAACCTTTTTATGACTTTATAATGGGTGTGCATTGCGCTACTTAGTCACATGACCTGGGATGTCACCAACTCTGAACCCCTCTGCGGTTCTCCTTTTTATACCTCTGTGCTGGCAATGCTTTCAGCCGTAGGCATTAGGTTTACATGTTGTACGGCTGTCCAGTCTCCACAAATGTCCACCAGGCTCAATGATGAAATGACTGGATTTTGGTGGTCAAAGGTTAAGGTCACTGACCTCACGTCCGTCAGGAACGCCTTGAGGGAATTTCTTTAAATTTGGTGCAAACGTCCACTTTGGGTGCTTTTCCTTATGCTAACGAATCTTTGTTAATCATTTCCTAGTGTCCTCTCCTCAAGTCTTAGTCCCGTTCACCGGAGATACAAGCAGAAGAGGCGAGGAAGGGACGCAAGGAGATTCTGTCCATTGTTTTGTTATACTGCTGTGATCTATGATCTCTGTTCAAATAAACAATGTACGGATGTCTTACGCACAAACACACACACACACACACACTGGTTATTGGTCAGTGCAACCATTGGACACTTCACGAAGGAATTATTTCCTGCGTGGAGTGCGAGGCACTGTAAGTGAGGTATTGCACATAAATATGTCAGAAATGATGACAGCTATGTGGCGCTATGGAGCACGCTAAATACACATGAACTCATTCGCTGTATGTTTTCACAATGTTCACAGGCGATATGATCTGTGTGCTAAGTCTTGTGACTTTGAGTATACCAAGGGCCACAGAAATGCGTCTGAATGCTAACAGTGATGAGGGGGTTCTATGGAGCGGACGACGTGCCCATTCAAGACCAATTACGACATCAAATCTAAATATTTACTAATTTGAACATTAGTGCAAAGTTCCATGAATTATTTTGCAACCTAAAGTCCTCACACGTGTGAGCATGTTTGTTAAATGAAAATGGACGTCAGCTCACAGTGGTGTGAGGCCAGCGTCCCTTATGTCCAGGTCTTCATTCACGACTGTCGACACACCTGGAGTTGACTGCTGGCAGCTGTCTGGTAGCGATCAGACCTCCGGAGCAAACCAGAGTGTTTGGCTTTTCATCTGGGATCCAGGAGTCAAACAGGGCCAGGATAGCAATCACAACCATGTTTCAGGTGTGGCCACGATCCATGGAAACATGCAAGGGGAGAAAGCCAAGTTACCTGCATTAATGAGACATGATTTCATACAGAAGGAGAGAGAGAGAGGAGGAGCTCAGTGTATCCTAGGAAGTCCCCCAGCAATCTGGGCCTATATCATAACTAGAGCTGGTCCAAGGCAAACCTGAGCCAGCCCTAACTATAGGCTTAATCAAAGAGGAAAACCTCAAGTCTACTCTTAAATGTGGAGAAGATGTCTGCCTCCTGGACTGAAACTGGAAGCTGGTTCCACAGAAGAGAAGCTTGATAGCTGTAGGCTCCGGTTCCCATCCTACCTTTGGAGACTGTTGGAACCACAAGAAACCCTGAATTTAGGGAGGGTGTTTAACCATTAAGGGCTTTCTAGGTGAGGAGAAGGATTTTACATTATCTTGTGGATTTCACAGGGAGCCAGTGCAGAGACGTTATACGGGGAAATATGATCTCTTCCATTGTTGGTACAACTGGACAGAGATTTATTGGAGCAGCCGGATAATAAGAAATTGCAATAACCTAGCTTGAAGTAACAAAAGTACCAATATTAGATTGATTTAAAATAACTTGCTTACAAAGTTAAATCTATTGGGGATAATGAAATTTGAGGATTGAATTTTGTATGATCTAATTCACTTGAAGAACTGGAGAAATCGATTTGCTCGATATGAATTATGAATATTGAGGTTTATGAATTGCTCCCGTAAAGGAACATTTTATTTTGATTCACTTTTGTGAATATCCATGCTTCGTTATTGCTCTGCCAATAAAGCTTGACTAGTGGAACTACAATTCAATCTTGTCATATTTCACTAATGTAACAAGGTTATGGTTACTTATTTCGAGATAGGCGTTTTGTCAGCGGGGAAGCGTTTATTTTGAAAATGTTGACCCGGAAGTAGCTAGCCAGTTCTCGTGGAGCGGTGCCAGCCGCTGTCCTCGCCCTGCCTCCTCCAGCGTCCTACCTGTCACAGGACAGCGTCCTTTCATACGGAGTAGCATCCAGGCTTCAACCGACAGCAGTCCCGTGCACGCTTTCTGAGGGACACGGCTCGTTGGACGGCGGTCCGGTGTGAGACACACACAGTGAGATGCCAAGAGAGGCGCGTTACACCCACAGAGCTCGTCGTGGCTTTTGCACAAATTTGTGAGAAGCATCACTGTGGTAACGTCCGGCTGTTCCTCACCGCTAGCCGGCTGGCGAGGTAAGGAGAAACGTGAATTACACAAGCAGAGGTACCGTAAGTTAAAGCCGCTACATCCAGGCTGTGTGAGCGGTCTCTATATAAGCTACCGCTGCTTATCTTTGGCATCCACAAAGGAATCTCCACATGTTTGTTTGGTTGGGACGCTAATGGAGGAGTGGTGTCCAGACTGGAAACGACAGAAGGCTAACGTTATAACGTTAGTTACAAGCAATTCTTAGTGAACGGCCCAATCAAGCGTAGTCTCATTAGTAGCTAACGTTAATTAGGTGGCTGGATGAGCCCAGTGTTACCCGAGTTCACTGCTGTCAACATTAGTTTACATTACAGTTGGGTTATTAAATAGAACTAATTAATGAGAAACAATACAGCAGCTGATTGTCCTGTTTGTTGTGACTGATTGTATTATAACATAATATATTCATTTCGTCTTGTCGCAAACGGCTCATTATATCGTTGATTTTTCCCCCTCCAATCATCATCGTGTACATCCTGTCATTGTCATGGTGAACAGACCTTTCTCACCAACTCAATGAGAGCTGTTGGATGTCTAAAGACCTGCAGGGAACATTTCAGCACAATTGGTCAGTTCCGAACAAAATAAGTTTGTTACTGACAGACATTAAGCCACGCAGGGTTCTTACCACCCTGATAACAGAGAGGTAAGCTGAAGGTTTGAGAGTAGACACAGTGATGTTACACTGGAAGTACAGCCGCTGTAGGGTGTCCTGCACACTATATAAAGGCACACACAGTCACCCCATCGATGAAGCTATTGTCAGTCATTTCTATGGCACAATCAACTTTCCATTTGCAGCAAATCATTTTTGAGGAGACGCAGCAATAGCTGAACATTGTGACCTGATTGCACATCCATCTTAGCAAACTGGAGGTTGCAGCCACTGTGAGAGTGAAATCTGGGACATCCCATGTCAACCTAAAAAAGGTGACCATGTGATGCATTTCCTCCATAGTTTCTTATTTCTATTCATATTTAAGTAGGGCACCAGAAAGACACTTGGATATCTGCCTCCAGAAACATCTGTTTAGTGGTAATAGTTTGGATATCAACATGGTTGAAATGTATTTCCTTGTAGCTTGATGTATTAATAAATCACAAGTTCACATTGGAACCAATGGTAGGCTGTTTGCTCTAGTTGCCACTGATTCCAATATTTTGAACCATTTATAACTAACCAGTATTTTTTTTTTTTATGCGGTATCACTCCTCAGTCAATACAGTATTCATTTACTTCTATTTGTAATCAGGTGTGAAAGGTCAGTGTCATGACTGGAGCTGAGACTGAGGATGATATTCCATTAGGCGAAAGGAAGACTGTCACAGATTTCTGCTATCTCCTGGACAAGTCCAAACAACTCTTCAATGGGCTAAGGTTAGTTTGTACTTCCTATGTTGTCTCCTGTCTGCTGGACTTTTGTAATCAAGCATCGACTTCCAGTGAGTAGTTGTTGCAATGCGCAGGAATGATATGTATTCAATTGTGCAGCGCAAGATGTTCGTCCATTGCCAACTTTGGGTTTCAACAGAGGAAGTAGTGTGGCCTTTATGTGAGGGTGTGGAGGTCAGGGTGGTGGTTGAGTGTGTAGAACAGGGGTCCCCAACTGGCAGACCGCGATCCGGACCCAGACGCAGTTGCGTCAAGACCCAGGACCTAAAACCGATAGATAACTTGGAATTATACATGTTAAACAGTGAGTCTATACTTTAACCGGCGCAGTATACATATACATATATGTATGTATATATGTATATATGTATATATGTGTGTGTGTATGTGCATATGTAATGTGTGTGTGTATTAATGTGTGTGTGTGTGTGTGTGTGTGTGTATATATGTGTGTGTGTGTATATATGTGTGTGTGTGTATATATGTGTGTGTGTGTATATATGTGTGTGTGTGTGTGTGTGTATATATATGTGTGTGTGTGTGTGTGTGTATGTATGTATGTATGTATGTATGTATATATGTATGTATATATGTATGTATATATGTATGTATATATGTATGTAT